TTTTTGGTACAAGTATTATAGGAAGTGATGGTATAGAAGAAGGAAAATATGAACCAGTTTGGAGACAGGAAGTACGAGATGAACGAGGAAGAAGACGACTTCATGGGGCATTTACTGGTGGATTTGTTGCGGGATATTTTAATACAGTTGGATCTAAAGAAGGTGAGGATTTAATGAATATATAGTTCGAATATTGAGGCAAAAATAGGGTGGACTCCACAATCTTTTCGTTCTTCAAGAAAAGAAAGAGCTATTTTGAAAGTGTCTAAAGCAGAAGATTATATGGATGCAGAAGATCTTGCCGAAAGGGAAGAAGAAAGGCATCTTAGAACGAATGATGATTTTATTGGAATTGGATGTGAAGATATAAACCAAGAAAAAAAAGGGAGTATATTAGATGATTTAATTATAAAAAAAGAATCGGTTGGTATAAGATTATTAAAAAAAATGGGATGGAAGGAAGGGCAAGGGGTTGGACCTCTTGTAAAAAGATCGGCATTAGATGATGAAACAGAAGATGAATATGCATCAAAATATCTTTTTGCTCCTAAAGATTCCATAATAGATTTTTTTAAGAATAAAACGGACCTTTATGGTTTGGGATATGTTCCCGCACCTGCTATTGAACGATTGCAACATCTTACAGATAATAATACACCAAAATTTGGCATTTCTGGAACAAGTTTTGGTTATGGGGTATTAAATGAGGATGATAATGAATATGATCATGAAGTTTATGATTTTGAGTCTTCAAAGATAAAATATGACACTGTATTGGATCATGAAGAAAAAAAAAAAAGCGTTTCTAATACAAAATTAAAGCCTGTAACAAAACATTTGTTTGTTCCTCGAAAAAAGAATACTGTTGGTATTGAAGTAAAAAGGTGTCAGGATGGATCCTTGCCTTTGAATGGATTCATAGTATCAGAAGTTTATTGCATAGAAAAAAAAGCATGGTTTGATCCACCGGTAGTCCCGTCTGATTATGTGCCTTGCGCACCCCATTCTGAGAGAAAAATCATTTCTGGAAATCTTTTACAGCCTAGAGATCGAGGTGCTATACTTGGAGAGACTCCTCTTCCTGGAAAATCGGTATTTGACTTTCTTTCTCCATCTGCTCGAGAACGCATGGTTCAAGCAACTGGAAGAACAGATCTTCCTCCTGCACGGAATGAAGGTGCGATGATGCGGGAGAATCCTGAACCGTTTATTCCGTTAATTGATAAAAAAATGGCTCTTGATGCTTTGAATAATAAATTTTTGCCTTATGAAGATAATCAAGACAAAAAAAAAAGATATATTTTATTCCTTCAGGAGCATGCTGGGATTGTTCAACGGGGTTCATATGAGGTATATTTGATTTCATTAAAGTGTTTTTAAAAATTAAATAAAATTCAGAGCGTGGCTCCTCATGATTATAAAAAAGAAGCAGATGAATTTGCTAAATCTGCACGTATTTTTAAACCAATGACTGGTATAATGAAAAACAGATTTACATCTTCTTCTTCTTTTTCTTCTGTTTCAATTGTTGATAATTCTTCAAAAGGAGGAATCATAGATATTCCTGCAAAAGAAGTATATATTCTTTTAAGGAAACTTTACTTTTCTAATTAAATAAAGAGCAATACGGCTGAAGAAGCAGCAAAAATGAATATGTTTGGCAGTCTTACTCGAATAATTACTACATTCTATCCTGCACGATTACTTTGTAAACGATTTAATGTTCGAAATCCACATCCTGATAAACAATCAGACATATCTAATGTAAATGATGATTCAAAAAATGAATTAGTCAATCTATCTGTTGTTGAGAATATTATGCGGGAAGTAAAGGGAGACGAAACATATATTCTTCCTGAAAAAAGACAGGAAATCTTAAATATAGATGATACAACCAATAAAGCATTAGAAAAGGAAAGACCTGACATGGATATATTTATATCAATTTTTGGGGATGATAAAGATGATGATAATTAATAGCTATATTTACAATAGCTGGGCTGTAATATTTTAAAATAATAATATGTTTATATATTTAAATGTTTTTCACGTTCTCTCGATCGAGATCAAACCCCAAGCATGCTTGAAAAAAAATATAGCCAATATATTAAGATAGACTATTTAAAAGTTACAAGTTTATATTTTTGATCCTTATTTTTCTTATAAAGATACTAATAAGAACTTAGAATATTGTGAATTTTAACTGGTTTGTTTTTTTGAAAAAAATTTATGTTAAGGAATTTATTATTTATTAAAAAACTGGAATTTAATATTAAATTAAACAAAAAAATACTCCAATTCTGCATCTTTTCAGAATGATCTATAGGAAAGATGGCAATACTGATTCTATTATTCATGCACTCCGGAATATGTTAGAATTTGCGGTATTGGGACAATTTTTATGTCTTTTCTATAAAATCCTAAAATTAGATGATTTTGATATTGAAGTAAATATTATGTATTTCTTTTGATATTGGCTTATTTTTTTAAGTTTTTTGAACAAGAACTTCTTGGGTTTCATGAGCCTCGTACATTAACTATTATAAGATATAGTTTGGTGAGATATTTGTCTTCTAATAGACATATTAAGTATTTTCACCAACTTTTATGCGTTTTTAATAGTGTTTAGTGCAGAGAATGTTGATTTCTATACAAGAAAGCAATTTCTTCTTCGAAAACCAAAAGATAACCCCTATGGAAATGAAGAAATTCCATATTCATGGGATTCTTTTGACATTTTTACAAAAGTAGGCAGATATATTTTTTTGTTTGTCTTAATGAGGATCAAAGGTTCAAGTTTTATTGCAACTTTGTGAATGGCAGTTACTTAACCCTGAAAAATTTAGAGAACGTGTTGGTGCAAGAGAATCCGATGAAATATCTTGGGTATGTATAGAAATTAATTAATTCTTTACCATATTTTAATATTTAATTAAGAGAATAGATCCAATAGGACGTGATTCTGTTGGATATACATATTATCTATTAGATGATAATCGACTTTATAGATGTTTAAATACTTTTCCTCATTCTTTAAATGAAAAAATATCTGAGAATGATAGGAAATATAAAAGAAAAAGAAGACGGATTGTTGATGATGATGTTGATTCTCTTGAAGATTCAACTATCGATAATAAAAAACCTCAAAAACCTCAAAAACCTCAAATAGGACACTGGGAAAACGTAAAATTATATATTTTTTTATTTTGAAACTTATCAGTTTTTTAGGTTTGTGTAACTTTTAATGATTGGAAGAATTTTGTAAATTCTATCTCTCATTCAAGAAACAAAAGCGAGTATATATTACATAATTATCTTCAAAAAAATATTCTTCCATATCTTCAAGAAAATGAAGATGTATGTTGATTTACATTTATAATATAGATTTATATATTTTTTAGAGAAAAGAAAAAGAGCGGCAACTTAAAGAGCGTGAAAGACTGAAAGCAGAAGCATTAGTTCATCGAAAAAAATCAACTCGTATAGAACAAAAAAAGCTTATGAAACTTCAGGAAGAAAGAAGATTAAAACAGGAACAGTTGATTATGTTAATAGAAGAGAGAAGAGGAGATAAGCGGTCAACTGAATATGTATTTTATATTTTTTCCTAATTTTATTCGTTAATAGTTATTAGAGTCGAGGATCACGCATAGAAACAAGAGATAGAAAACAAAAAGAAAGATTGTTAAAAGAATTTTTGCAAAAAGAGAGTAGTCAAAAAAATGATGTTACTACTTTTAATCATTCATACTCAAATTCATTAAAAAGTCATCAGACTGTACGAAAAAGTACTAAGAAAATTAAACGTAAAGCTATGGAAAATAAGAAGACTGAGAACAATGATTGGATTTTTGATTGTATCTGCGGTATATATGGTAAGAATTATGTAAGTTTTTATTTCTTCTTTTTTTTTTATTGATTGTCTAAGTCAGATGATGAATTAATGATTTCTTGCGATAAATGTATGGTTTGGGAACATGTAAAATGCCAGAATAATGCAGATGAAATATTTTTAGATTTACAAAAGCAAACTAATGAAGATAATTCCATCCCTTTTATTTGTAATAAATGTGATCGCAAATTGGAAAATGCTGAACAAAATCCTAAAAATATGGTAGAGGAAAATAAAATGACTACATCGGAAACTCTTTTATCCAACATTCCTAATGAAATGATTGTTACTAATTCAACAGAAAAAATACCTTCAAATAGTGATATCACTGCAATAAATGAATATATATCTAAAATACATTCTAATGTTCATGATGTATCGGAATCTTTTGATGTCGATAATTATCCCCAGACTCCGGTTTCTTATTCTCAAATTACAAATCTTTCTACACTTCAACCAAATGAAATGCAGGCTTTTAAATCATTTTGTTCTCTTGAATCCACTTTGCATATTCAAAATATTTCTCCGTCTTTAGAGGATTTTTCTTAACAAAAGTTTAATGTAATATAATTTGTTAAAACAATTATAAATATTTTATACAAGTAAATAATAAAATCAATCTTTTTTTGTTACATAATTTATTATAGTTTTATAAATTGGTTTTAACTTGAATAATATAAAATATATTATTAATCGATATTATTTTACATTTATTTGTTTTTGTCAGCTTAATTGTAATTTCTATTAATCACGAACTCTAAAAGTACATTTATTTTAATATTTTATAGAATTCTAGGATTGATTAAAGCATATTAAGATATTTTGATGATTTCAAATATAATATTTGCTTTATGAACATATACTATTTTACATAAAAAATGGAATTTGAAGATTTAAAGTCTATTAATGAATACAACTATATTTGTATTATTCATTTTATGTATTTATATTGTTTTAAAATATGCTTTAATAATCATATAGAATCCATATAAATATAAAGGAAAAGTATAATTAACATTTATGTATTATAATATTATAAAAATTAAAAATATTAATTTCAATCCAAGCTTCATATTAAATATCAAATGAAAATACAAGAAATGATATTCTAATTTAATAAATTACACATTTTAGATATCAAATGGATATTTTAATTATGATAAATTCGAATTAAATTCATCTATTAATGCTTCCTTTCGATTATTAACTTTTCGTTTTAATGTAACATTGCTAAGAACAGTGTCTTTAGGCATTAACCAAGGCTCATACCAACGTCCTTGAACTTCAATCAAAGAACATGTAAATTCAGAATCTTTTGTATTACTACATCCTAAATATAAGTCTAAAATTTCAGCAGTTTTTGCCAATCTCTGAGGTACAGGAAGCGAAGGATCTATTTGGGACGGAGTTGATGTAAAATACCAAACATTGCCTGAAACCAAAATATTACCAGATTTATTTTCTTTATATATTGCGTTAACAATAAGAATACCGTCAGGAATAGAAAATTGTTGTTCACCCTCTAATTTTTGTTTAAATCGAATCACATCTCCTTTCCATACTTTTTCTGGCCCCATCCAACATCCATTATAACAATGAATTTTAGGAGAAATGCCAGATATATAAGGATCAAACAGTGTCCATGTTTCACAAAGTTCCTCCATATCTTTTATACCCTTTACAGATCTTGAAAGCAAAGGTCGAAGCATCCACTGAGGTACCTGTATAATTTTTTTTTCGGTTTTAATTGTTTTGACACGATAATTATAACTTTTAGATAAAACACTGTCAGAATGAAGACAAGGCAACGCTGTCCGTTCTATAATAATTCCAATTACCCATTCATCTGTAGGATTATCTTGGATCATCCAAACTACTTCACCAGGTCTATAAAGAGCACCTTCTGAATTAAGATCTGTTTCTCTTTCTGATTTTTCATGATTCAATTCAAGCATAGCTTGATCTATACCCAGCTTTCTTCGATTCCATGATTTCGAATCACCGCAATATTTGCAAGGACATTCACCACGTGCATGTGTTTTACTTTGTGCAATCCATAAAAGATGCGGACTAAATTCTGCCGGGCTTCGAAAACGAATCCCTTTAGGATGTCCAAAAAGAAATGTATCTCTACGCTCTTGGCGAGTATCATTATACCTTTTGCAATGTTCATAAAGCTTATAGTTCTTAGGAAATGCATCAAGAACAAAATCCATGCCTATTTTACCAAATTAACCTGTTTTTTTCTACTATTTTAACAAAAAACCTTGAAACGCTTGAATCTTTGCTTGTTCTCTCAAATATTCTGCGCATTTTCTGCGCCAATGAAGGTCTTTACTCTCCCCTGTTGCAATTTTTCGAAAAAAATCAAAAGTCCCATCTTCATTAATCGTTGCTTCACAGCTTGACGGAGGTGGATATCCTGTGGTTACTCCATCACTCCAATGAATTTGAATTCTATAGGGTGTTATTTTCATAGGTTTTTAAAAAAGAAATAGAAGAATAATAACCTCTTTAAATGTGTTTCTGGGTAAGCAGGAGGAATCGGCATTGTTTCTTGTATAGAAAAGCTTTCCTCTCTAATAAATGTTACCTGGCAACCGTTGTCTAAGCAACAATGATTTAGTCATTTCGTATATATTATATATTGTAATCATAAAGTTTTTAATTGAAACACATGATTTATGAATAAAACGTGTATTTTAAATAAATATTTTTAAGATTTGATAGATTTTTTTAAATTTATTAAGATATTTGAAAATTTATAGGAATTAAATATTCATAAAAATATTTTAAATTTTTAAAGAAAACTTTTAAACATTTAAGAAAAAATAATTGAAGAGAGGATGTGATATTTAATAGAAATATTTTAAGATATAATTGGTGTATTTGAGTTAAAATTGAAAAACAATCTAACTCAGTCTTTAGTTTTAAAGAAAAAGTTATAATTTATTTGAATTATTAACGTCTTTATATATATAGAGATTGCGTTTTTCTTTCGTTGAAAAATTATAAAGGAGTTTACACTTTAAAAAATAGATAAATTTTAAATTTCTTAGGTAATTATTCGTTGGAGTTTGTAAAAATAAGATATCTGCTTTATTAAATAAAATTACACATTTTTTCTTTATAATATTATAAAAGAAATGAATCGGTGAGAAAAAAATACAATAATGCATTTTTTACTTATAAATGTAGTACTGAATTGCCTCATATTGAAACGAAACAATATACTCTTGTAATTCCCTATGATGCAAAAAATACACATGTCTTACTTGGCCTAAAGAAACGGGGATTTGGTGTTGGAAAGCACTATTATGTTTATTTAATATTTAAATAGATTTTAACATTAATTAGATGGAACGGATTTGGAGGAAAAGTAATGGAAAACGAATCGATTAACGCGTGTGCAGCAAGAGAATTAAAGGTATTGATCTATTTATTTCATAAAATTAAAACGAATAACAATCTAGGAGGAATGCGGAATTGAAGATGCAGTACTTGAAAAAATGGCAATACTTCTTCTAAAATGGGAAAGATCTGCCTGCATAACTGAAATTCATGTCTATAAAGCTACACAATTTCTTGACGAACCTATAGAGTATGTTCTTAATATTTATAACATTCTAACCTTAATAGATCAGAAGAAATGATCCCTCAATGGTTCTCTGTTGATCCCTCTGCACACAATCCTATTCCCTATGACCATATGTGGGAAGAAGCACGAATATGGTATCCTGAATTTCATCGAGGTCGAAAATTTGTTTTTAATGTCTTATTCAAAGGAGATATTGATATTTCTGATAATTCTCCGTTAATTATACATTACCATCTTACGCCTGTTGAAAACATACATGATTATACCTATACTGATCATTTGTTTAAATAATGCAGTCAATAAATCGTTGTAATAACATTTTCAAATCATATGAATATGTTTATTAGCCATTCAACATAAACCAATGCCAATCTTGCATTGATATTGGCGTATTCATCATTGCTATATAGACATTGACCAATAAGATATCGAATGTATAATTTTGAAAAAATATAAATCACCATTCAAATTCTCCCTTGAAAAGATTAAATACCATCTTCAACCGAATCGGCACCTTTCTTACATTGGCCCTCATAAAAAGATAATCTTTACCACCCATACCAACAATACCATCTTTAAGAACACATTTCCACTTATTTTTCGTTCGCTGCACCTTTTCGTATAAACAGAGCACAAGTTGCCCATCATCATCATGTTCTGGAAGATCGTCTGGATTGGAGTTAGTTTCAGAGTCGAGATCAGAATTGATTGAGTCAGAATCCATGCCATCCGTTTGAACAAAAGATCGAACTGACTCTTGTATTTCTCGCGTCTTCAGAGACTGCTGCAACTCCAATGATTCCTTATCATGAACTTTAAAGGCCTTCTGAGTGCTATATACCTGAAGAAGTGTTTCATTAAGTGAAGTATCAATTTGCTATAAAAAAAATTAGTAACAACGAATCAAAAAATACTAGAAACCTTTGTCGTTGGTATTGAATCCTTTGAAAAGACTTCTTTTTTTAACGAGGACCACTCTTCAACATGAATTCCATCCGTTTGTGGAATATGATCAAGATGTTTATTCTGCGCAAATTCTCCATAAAATCGCGCTTGTCGTGCTTGAGCCAACTGTTGAATTTGTTGTGCTGCACGCATTGCAGACATCGCAGGATTACTTAATAAAGGTGTTTCTGTCTTTCTTGATGGTACCTGCATTGTTTCCCCTAAAAAAGATGCTGTCCAAGGAAACTGTGCAACATTTGTTGTTGCCAAACGTGTTTGCCATATCTATAATCGTTTACTATTAATATTCCCTATAAAACATATATAGCTTTTTCAAAATATATTCTTTTCCTAAATATACTTTGAAAGCTATTTTACTACTTCTTACATGTTTCAACTGAGTTAAAACTGAACTATCCACTCCATATTCTTCGAAATCGTTTCGAGACGCTTGAATAACATCGCTAATGATGTCTTGATATATTTCCCCCTATAAAAAACACATTCCGCTCAATTACAATACGAAAAAGTCAAAATTAAAATTACCACAATGACATTTGACATTCGTTTATTTAAAAACTCTTCGTTACAACCGTGCAAGTCACCCGATCTTTAGAGTCAAGGGGTTAGGGTAATGATAACTCACGTTGATAGATGTTAACTCTAGATATCTTCGAGTTAGGGTTATCTATAGTTATATTACTGCCAGTACATATTATATTATCTGTTAGGGATTTGAAAGGGTTCATATGATGCAGAGGTTTTCTGATTTTAATTCTTAAAAAAAACTAGTTATATTGATAAATATAAAATAAAATTGAAGATTAGAGTTCAAATACATAGATAAAAGCTTAGAGATACTATATCTAATAATGAAGGGAATATTTTTAATAATAAGATAAAAATAAAATAAATTGCATTAAAAAGAGAGGTTGAAGGAAAATCTGGAAAGACTAAAGTAATAGAATTTTTTATATAAATTTATATAAGAGTGATTATTACAGTAATCACTGACTTTAATATTAAGAGGATAGTAGAAATAAATATTGAAAAATTTATATAAATATACAATAAATTAAGGATTGAATGTTATAGAGGAAACTATTACAAAATAATATTGGAATTTTTTTAAGAATTTTTTTTGATTTTTTCTAAAATAAAAGCAAAAGTGAAGAAGAATTCACTGATATTTGTTTAATATTAAACTGTGGAAGCAATAGATTTATGGATTTGTCTCTATATTTTAAAGATGTACACAGAGGTTTAATAATTTTGCAAAAGAAAAATTCAGTGCTTTAAAGATAATGACTGAAGATGGGATTAAAGGTATCGAAATTAAATGTTTCAAGAATTATTTGAAAAGTGTTGTTTTTATTGTAAAAATTGTAGTAAAAATGGACTATGGTTGGGTGAATTAAAGAAATATAATAAAAAATATTATATATACTACTATTATGATTTGACCTTAATTTGATGGAACATATAATTTTACCAAGTACTGAATATATTTTTATTTTAGAATGTTAGTTTTTATTATATAATTATTTAACAGACTTCAGGAACTAGTTATTTAGTGCTCCTATCAAATTCTTAATAAAAAGGTTCAGAGATCCTAATTTATAGGACTATTTATGAAGAGTCTTGGCATATGCTTTTCCTATTTCATGATCATAAATTTACACTTATTAAATACGGTATTGGTATTTATGAATTGGATATAGAAAATCTCAATGAAGTGAATTCTTTTGTTTTTAATTCTTTTCAAAATGGGGATCTGGTTCATCCAAAATTGATGACACTACTTAATATTCTGT